GACCCCTGATTGGTTTGGTTTGGTAACATTCTCTCACCATATAAGCTGCTTTATAACAATATGCCCCTGAGTGCTCCTGGTCTGCACAATAAACTTTCACTAATTACTACTTCAGTGATTCATTGGTTTTGCTTTGGCTATTTATGAACTTTTAATAGGATTAAGAGAATAGAGTCAAGGACATCAGGACAATGTAGGAATCAAATGTGTAAAGGCCATAGCAGCAAAGGTGTAAAGAAAGATTCAAATATAAGAAAGCTACAGGAATTTATCGATGGCATAGGGTGTGGGAGGAAGGAATCCATATACATGGAAGTTTTGAGCAAGGTGACAGAATAAGAATTGGTTATAAAATTAGGATGTTAAAACTTCAGCTTGCAGCCCATCCCAGCCAGACAAATCTGGATTGGAATTCCAGCGTACACACCGTTTCATCAAACTGGAGGCTTTGGCTAGAAACAAATGATAAAGATGTTAAGGATCTTAGGATTTGCAAACCAGAAACACAACTAGTCAATACCTTCTAAAAAGACAGAAAAGCTAAGGGCCTTCACAGTAAAAAGTACATTCTTGAAAAGGATAGTTCATAGCCCATGGATTGGTCCAAAATGGTAATCCTTTGGAATCTAACTCAACACATCCAGATCTAAGCCTTCATCACTTGATTCAGCAGACCCTCAAGTTCCCACAAAAGTTTCCAGCCATGTCTGAGAGGCAGCCGTGGGGCAGGGGCAGGCGAGGAGCAAGCTGTTCCGGGCCTGGCTGCTCAGGGCCTGGCCTCTGTTGCTCTGGTTCATTCCACAACCAGCTGCTCCGGGTCTGGACACTGCTGCTCCCGACCTAGTTGCTCTGGACTTGGCTGCTGCTGCTCTGGGCCTGGCCACACCCGACCCGGCTGCTCGGGGCCCGGCCGCTCCGGGCCTGGCCGCTCCCAGCCCGGCAGCCGCTGCTCCGGGCCTGGCCACACCGGACCCGGCTGCTCCGGGCCTGGCCGCTCCCAGCCCGGCAGCCGCTGCTCCGGGCCTGGCCACACCGGACCCGGCTGCTCCGGGCCTGGCCGCTCCCAGCCTGGCAGCCGCTGCTCCGGGCCTGGCCGCACAAGACCCGGCTTCTCCGGGCCTGGCCGCTCCCAGCCTGGCAGCCGCTGCTCCGGGCCTGGCCGCTTCCAGCCTGGCAGCTGCTGCTCCGGGCCTGACTGCACCCGACCCGGCTGCTCTGGGCCCGGCTTCCCCGGGCCCGGCCGCTCCGAGTCTGGCCGCTTCCAGCCTGGATGCTCCGGGCTTGGCTACTGCTGTTCTGGGCCTGGCTGCTCCCAACCCGGCTGCTCTGGGCCCGGCTTCTCCGGGCCCAGCCACTCTGGGTCTGGGTGTTCCTGGACTGGCCACCCTGGGCTTGGCTGCCTCCGCCTCAGGCCTGGCTGCCACTGCCCCAGGTCTGGTGCTGGCTCCAGTGCTGGCTATTGTTGCTCTGGTTCTGGCTGCTGCTGCTCTGGGGCCTGGCCGTTGCTGCTCCGGGCCTTGTTGCCACTTCCTTGTGTCTGGGCACTCTAGGCCTGGCCGCCGCTGTTCCAACATTCTGTCCTTTTTTTTTTTTTTTTAAACTCATATATGTTGCAATGTTGGCTGGTGAGTTGAGTTCTGACTTAGTCTTTGATTTTTCAAGTTCTTCTTTGTATTCTTTCTTAAGTAATTTTACTATCTTTTGCTCTCACTTGATTTCTTCACATTGAGAACTTTGGTTTCTTCCTCCTTGTCCTGGGAGCTCAGCAGGTTGGCCTGTGGCACCCCTTTGTTCTCCGCGGGCTCCTGCGCTGCTCCAGCCTGTTGCCAGGGTTGGCGCCGCCCAGGAAGCAGCCCAAGGCCTTGGCTCCGTTGCCCGTGCTCAGAGGTCAAGGGCTCAGGGGAACCCCCCCCCTAGGGGCCCCGTCGCCCGGCTCCCTGCCAGCGCCCGGCTGGCCAGTGTCCAGCAGGGGCTCCTGCTCCCTGTTGCATTCCTCCAGTCTGGAGCTTTTTTTTTTTTTCCTCCTTCCCGCTAGGGGAGTCTAGGATCAGAGTCAACAGACTGTCCTCCGCGTGCAGTGTGCGCGACTCTGGGGGCTCCGCTTTTCGCCGCTCCCCTGGGATTCCGCCTCACAGCCCCGTCTCCCCCTGCCTGAGCCTGGGTTCCCAGGGTCTGGTCTAGGACGGGTTCAGAGCAGTCAAAACTGGGGCCCAACACAGCTGGGGCTCCCGTTTCCTTCCCTCCAGGGCAATCCCGCATCAGAGACAACATTCCTTCCCTTGCAAGCAATGTGCGCGACTCCGGGGGCTCGGCCTTTCGCCGCTCTCCCAGGACTCCACCTCACAGCCCCTCTACTTGAGCCTGGGTCCCCAGGGATTGGCACAGAACTGGGGTTCAGAGCAGTCCGGACTGAGGCTCGGTGCCGCCGGAGACCCTGTTCCTTCCGGCTAGGGTAATCCAGCATCAGAGTCAACATTCAGTCCTCTGTGCACAATGTGCGCACGACTCCGGGGGCCCTGCTTTTCGCCGCTCGCCTGGGATTCTGCCTCACAGCCCCGTCTCCCCCGCCGGAGCCTGGGTCCCCAGGGTCTGGCCCATAATGGGGCTCAGCGCTGCCGGTTCGGGGTTTAGCCCAGGCTGGGGGTTTTATTTCCTTCCTGCTAGGGAGCGCCAGGCAGCACCCAGCCTTCTCCTCCTCTCTGGCTGCGACATCTCCGCGCGTGCGTGTGGGCGCGCAGCATGTCTCCATACCTTAGGCTTTTTCTCAGCTCCTCTGATTTTCCTTCTGGTTTTCTCTTTCCTTCTTGTTGTAGAATTTTCAGTCAGTCAACTACCTGTGGCTCTGGGCGATGTCTACTCTACATTTTAGTTGTATCCCATTGAAATTGTTGTGTGCTGCTGCGGTTAGGTGTCTACCCGAGCAGCCATCTTGGATTCTCCCTAGATTATTGTTGAAAATATTACAGATGTCCCCCTCTTTTATCCCCATTGACCCCCTCCACCTTCCACCCCTCTCCCTCTGTCCAGGCTTTCACTACATTATTGTCTGGGTCCATGGGTTATGCATATATGCATATGAGTTCTTTGGTTAATCTCTCCCCACCCACTCACCTTGCCTTCCCTCTGAGATTCATCAGTTTGTTCCATGCTTCTATGTCCCTGGATCTATTTTGTTCATCAGTTTATTGTATTTTGTTAATTAGATTACATATATGAGTTAATTAGATTCCACATATGAGTGATATCATGTGATACTTGTCTTTCTCTGATTGGCTTAGTTTCCTTAGCATAATACTCTCCAGACCATCCTATATAATAAAAGGCTAATATGCAAATTGTTCCCTTGACCAGGAGTTCGACCAGAAGGCAGAGCCAGCTGGCCAACCTCCTGTGTCCCCCCTCCCCACTTCCATCCCTCCTCTCTGCCAGTCTGGCCCGATTGGCCCCAGTCAGGTCTGGTTGCCAGACCCCACCCATGCACGTATTTGTGCACTGGGCCTCTAGTTTATTTATAAAATCACAGAGGTAGAAGTAATTCATAGAAGAAATGGGCTGAGGAAACAAGTTGTAGAGGCAAAGGAAGCTTGGGAAGCAGAGAGGAGGGGCAGGTTGTGCTCCCAGGATGGAGAGCAGGTTGGGTCTGCCCTTCTTCCCAAAGGTTTGAGATTTTAGGGGATGTCCCAGGGAAAGATCTCAATAGAATATCCAGCAGTTTCCCAAGTGTGGTCTCTTTTGACTTATGGACCCACATGGAGCAGGAGGTCATTATTCAATGCAGCTGGTCCTGAGGTCAAGTGTGGCAGGCTTTGCTGCTCTTCTGGGCCTGGAGCTGAAATACAACTGAGGCCTGGATGTTATCTCTAGGGAGGAAAGGGCAGGGGGTCCAAGGTGCATGACCAGCAATGTGCTAGGGGAGGAAAGGCCCCCCTGAGGGCAAGGTCCTCCCCTGAATTTGCCTTTGCTAGGCACCCAGGGCCTCCCACCCTGGGGACCTTCTGCACTTGACCCATTGTCCTCACTCTGCTCATATCTGTCTAACTGCCTACCATACTTATATTTCTATATTCTTTTTTTTTTAATTGGTTGTTTCTTGTCTGTATCCTGACTGGGAATTGAACCCTGACCTTGGTATATTAGGACAATGCTCTAACCAACTGAGGTACAATGCCACGGCTATATATTTTTAATCTAATTGTAGTCTGAACCAGGGCTTCACCAATGGGCTTTTATACAACACTTTATGAATTCCCATATGAAGGAATCCTGGAAATTCGTCTTTTCTATCTCCTGACCATTTTACCCACTTGAGTAAAAGAGAGTCAAGCCAAGGGCCCCTGGCCTTGTTCCCAAACTTTAACCTGGCTTACCCAGCTTGTTGCTCCACCTGATTGCTGGTGAGGTTTCTCATTGTAATCACTTCTTCCCAATCTTCCCTAAAGGCAGGTAAATAGAAGACTTGCTTGAGGCCCTTTAATGTTGGCATTCTTACAGGGAGTCAGCTCTGCCCATTCAGCCTTTGGTAATGCTGTACTAAACCTTTGTTTTAACCTCATCAATACCCATTTTATTGCTGAGACCGGTTTGGCTCAATGGATAGAGCTCGGCTTGGGGACTGAAGGGTCCCGGGTTCGATTCCGGTCAAGGGCATGTACCTTGGTTGCGGGCATATCCCCAGTAGGGGGTGTGCAAGAGGCAGCTGATCGATGACTCTCTCTCAACAATGTTTCTAACTCTCTGTCCCTTTCTCTTCCTCTCTGTAAAAATTATTTTAAAATTATTTTAAAAAAGAAAAAAAGGAAGAAACGGAAGACGCTTCAGACGCTTCTCTCGCTATTTAAAGAAGTCCCCGCCTGGCACTCAGCCCGCCTCACGCTGGGTCACCGCAGACAGCCCGGTGCGGGCGGGGGCCGGGGCCGGCGCTGATTGGCCGCTGCAGACCCAGCCCCCTCGCCCATTGGTGGGCGGCGCCGCCGGATTGGCGGAGCCCGTGGGGCGGACTCAGCGCCGCTCCCGGCCGGCTCGCTGCGTGCGGAGATGGCGACGGCGGTGGGGCTGCTGGCGCGGCGGGTGCGGGGCTGGAGGCTGCGGGCGCCGTTGGCGCCGCCGGCCCGCGTCCTTCCCCGGCGGGCACACTCGCTGCTGGCGGTGGACGACGCCATCAACGGGCTGAACGAGGAGCAGAAGCAGGTAGGGAGCCTGGCCCGCCGCCCGGCCCCGAGGCCTCCGGGCCTGGCCCGTCTGCCAGCTTCGGGTTCGCCTGGGCACTCGCCGCCCCCCTCCTGCCGCCCGCGCGCCGGCTGCGGGGTGAGATGCGGGGCAGCAGGGAAGCTGCTGGCGCTGCGGGTGTCTTTGCCGGCGGAGTTTGGTGGAAAGGGGCCTCCGTCTGCTGAAGGAAAGCCAAGGTTAATCATTATCCCCAGCCGATCGCTTTCCCACGCACACCCCGGGGGCTCTGACAGGCAGCGGGATCTCACCCCCAGAGTCAGAGCCCAAAGTGGGACAGAACACGTGGAAGGGGCCCTGCACCGCGGCTGGAGCAGAGCCCTCGGGAGGGAGGAGGCTGCTCGCTGGGACCCAGTTCCGCCGGCAGGTGATTTTCCTGTGGGACAGCGGGCGCGTGCCAGAGCTTCCGGGAACTCCGAAGCCCGCTCGAGTCTCAAACTTTCCTGCCAAGAGGAGTTTCTAATATCCTTGAATAATCCCTTATATTTTATTTTTTTAAAATACATATTTTATTGATTTTTTAGAGAGGAAGAGAGAGGGACAGAGAGTCAGAAACATCGATGAGAGAGAAACATCGATCAGCTGCCTCCTGCACACCCCCTATGGGGGATGTGCCCACAACCAATGTACATGCCCTTGACCAGAATCAACCTGGGACCCTTCAGTCCACAAGCCACTGAGCCAAACCGGTTTCGGCTGAATAATCCCTTTTAGACAAAGGGCAGAAAAGAGCCCACAGGTGCTTACAACTGGGGCGGGAGGGGGGGTGTTTACTGGGGAAGGCTGGACCAGTCAGTTCATGCAGGGCCTTGTCCTAAGCACAAAAGAAAGCCATGGGATGATTTTATGTAGGAGAGTGACATTTAAAAAATACTCATTTCCAAAACCAGTCTGGCATCGGTCTGCAGACTGAAAGGTCCTGGGTTTGATTCCAGTCAAGGGCATGTACTTTGGTTGTGGGCACATCCCCGGTAGGGGGTGTGCAGGAGGCAGCTGATGGATGTCTCTCTCTCATCGATGTTTCTAGCTCTCTGTCTCTCTCCGTTCATCTCTGTAAAAAATCAATAAAATGTATTTTAAAAAAATACTCATTAAGCAATCTGGACCGAGGACCTCAAGAAAGAGGGGTGGAGATGATCTCTGAGGAAGTGTACACCACGGTCTCTTAAGTTGCAGTCTGATGTGTTTGGTGAGGCATCATGGAGCCTGCTCCCCTGAATGTGCCTCCGCGGAGGAGACGCTGTCTTCTGCGGCAGTCACGTTCTGTTGAAGAACTGTCGCCCCTCTCCCTCTAGCTTCGTCACACCCTGTCTAAGTTCCTGCAGGAGCACCTAGCCCCCCAGGCCCAGGAGATCGATCAAAGCAATGAATTCAAGAACCTCCGGGTGAGTCTTAAGGCCCACCCTGGGGGCGCAGGGGCAGTCCGGGAGCTGGGCGGTGCTGGGAGTTGCCCTACAGCCTAGAAGAACTCATAGAGTCTTCTGGTAAATGACACCCCCTTAGAAGTGCAGCCCCTTTCGGTGAAGTGTTTGGGGCTCTTGGCTCCAGGGGTCCAGGCACCTGTGCCTGGCTGCCTTCTCACTACTCACTGTGCTCCCTCCATTCTGCTGGCAGGAGTTCTGGAAGCAGCTGGGGAAGCTGGGAGTCCTGGGTATCACAGCCCCTGGTGAGTAGTTTCATTCCCTAAGGAGAACCTTTCTCTGTGTCTTGCGTGCCCTTTAACACCAGAACTAAAAGAAGCAGGAAAGGAGTGAAAAGACTGCTCAAAGAAGAAAAAAAAAGGGGGGGGGGGTGGAGATTGTGCTCAAAGAAACCCAGAACTTCCTCCCGCTGGGTCCTAGGAAAGCTCCCATTGGCTGTCAGCCTTTCTATTCTTTTGGTCAGTGACATTGAGATGACAAAGAGCCAGTGTGGTTCACTCAGGCCAGAATCATTTGGACTCCTAAAGTCTGCATGCTGAATGAGCTCCCCCAGGTGATGTTGGCAGCTTAGCCCCTTAGTTTAGTTCCTACATTCTTTTTTTTTATATATACTTTATTTTATTTTATTATTTTTTAAATTTAATATATTATTTTATTAAATTATTATTTTTGTACATATACCCTCCCTCCCCAGAGTTTTGTGTTCATTGGTTGTACTTATATGCATGTATACAAGTCCTTCGGTTGATCTCTTATCTCCCCCAGATCTCCCCAACCTCCCCGCTGTAATTTGACAGTGTGTTTGTTGCTTTACTGTCTCTATATCTATCTTTTGGTTCTTCAGTTTATAATGTTCTTTATCATCCATAAATAAGTGAGGTCATGTGGTGTTTCTCTTTCATTGACTGGCTTGTTTCACTCAGCATGATGCTCTCCAATTCCATCCAGGTTGCTGCAAATGATGAGAATTCCTTCTTTTTTATGGCAGCATAATATTCCATTGTGTAAATGTACCATAGTTTTTGGATCCAATCATCTGCTGATGGGCACCTAGGCTGTTTCCAAATCCTAGCTATTGTATTGTAAATTGTGTTGCTATGAACATAAGGGTGCATATATCCTTTCCGATTGATGTTCTAGCTTCTTAGTCCCTACATTCTTAAACTCCGTCCTACCAATAACATCTAGGCACACAGCCTGGCCCTGGGCCCATTTGGAAACATGACGTTGTGAAGGAATGCCAGTCTGAGCCTTCCTGTGAGGGGCCAGGTGATGTGTTAAATACGCTGCCCTGTGTCCCCTGTGGGTCTTACTACCTGTTTCCAGGGATAAAGGGAGCTGGCGGTCTCTGATTTGGATGCTGACCTCTGAAGGAGAGGCCCAGCCTGGCTGGCAGTGCCCAATAGATGGCACACCTGCTTCAGCTTGCATTCCTCGGGCACTGGAATAGAGGAGGGAAATGGTGTACTTCTCACATCTCCCCCTTACCGCTTGGAGACAGTTCTTGATTTTGAGGTGATCATAGAAAGCTAGATCATGGGTAATGATAAAATGAAGCCACTTAAAAATTAATTTAGACCACCTTAATGGAAAGTAGGCGGAAAGCCACTGGAAACTCATGAACAAGGCTTTCTTCCTGTGTCTTGGGGGTTTATGAACCCTATAGAAAATATGTTTCTGAACCAGAAGGTATTTAAAATAAATAAATCATATATATATATATATATATATATATATATATATATATATATATATAATTGATTTTTTACAGAGAAGAAGAGAGAGGGATAGAGAGTTAGAAACATTGGTGAGAGAGAATAATTAATCAGCTGCCCCCTGCACACTCCTCACAATCCAGGTACATGCCCCCGACCGGAATCGAACCTGGGACCTTTCAGTCTGCAGGCCGACGCTCTATCCACTGAGCCAAACTGGTTTCGGACCAGATGGTATTTTTTAAAAATATATTTTATAGATTTTTCACAGAGGAAGAGAGAGGGATAGAGAGTTAGAAACATCGATCAGTTGCCTCTTGCACACTCCCTACTGGGGATGTGCCCACAACCAAGGTACATGCCCTTTACCTGAATTGAACCTGAGATCCTTGAGTCCACAGGCCGATGCTCTATCCACTGAGCCAAACCAGTTTTGGCGCCAGATGGTATTTTAGTGGGAGAAAGATAGTTAGAAATCAGAAACTTGGAAAGAAAGCCAGATATAAGTTCTGGTTTCTGCATGATTGTCCCTGTGGCTGTTTTCAGTGTCAACACCTGAGGGTTTTCCTTCCTGGAATTGCAGGGGACGGGCCAACCTTTCCAGAGAGCTTTGGATGAGCCTGACTTCTTGGTCAAGAGTGAGCATGTGCAGAGGATCTCACCAGGGTTTCCCCAAATAGCAGGGCAGCAGTTGGTACCAGTTGACCCAGCCACTTTAAAAAAAAAAAATTGATTTCAGAGAGGAAGGGAGAGAGAGAAACATCAATGATGAGAGAGAATCATTGATCAGCTGCCACCTGCATACCCCCTACTGGGGATGGAGCCCAAACCAGGCATGAGCCCTTGACTAGAATTGAACCCGGGACCCTTCAGTCTGCAGGCCGATGCTCTATCCACTGAGCCAAAGCGGCCAGGGTGATCCAGCCTCTTTGATTTAAAATCTGCCAAGGAAAAGGCACATTTCTATGAGGAGTTCCCAAATTTCCTAACCAGCATCTCGGCTGCACTGCCCACCAGATTTTCTCTCAGGCTGTGGCTCTCCTGTTCCTGTTACTAATTTTGCTTTTTTACTTATTTTTTAACTTTTTTCATTGAGCTATAACTGACATGTAACCTTATGTATGTTTGAGGGGTACAATGTGTTTATTTGACAGTCCTGTTTCTTTAGGTCCAAACCTATGCACATCTCACTTTCCTGGGGCCTTTTACAAAAGCATCTGTCTTGCACTTCAGGTTCTCTTGCCCTCCTTGAGAGGTCTGTCCAGGATAAAGTGGGGGTGGCAATGACTATTTCTGAACCAGCTCTGCTGACAGAGGCAGCAAACAGAACCCGTTCTGTGTGTTTGTAGACAGATTCCCTGGCATCAACCTGTTGACTTTGTCAGTAGGAACTTGGAATAGATGCTATAAGGATGTTTCTCTGCTGTTGACGGCTGCTAAGTTCCTGTCAATGCCCTGGTTTAATCTGAGCTGCCTTTTCTGTTCCCCTGCACAACTTCCGCTCCCAGTCCAGTATGGCGGCTCTGGCTTGGGCTACCTGGAACACGTGCTGGTGATGGAGGAAATATCCCGAGTTTCTGGATCCGTGGGACTCAGCTACGGTGCCCACTCCAACCTCTGCATCAACCAAATTGTACGCAATGGAAATGAGGCCCAGAAGGAGAAGTACCTGCCCAAGGTGAGGAGACGGGAGTGGAGAAACACACGCTGACCTCGGTGCAACCACCAGACACGAGGCACCCTGCTGCCGAGGGCCAGTCAGATTTGCTCTCCTGTAGCATGCTGCCCTGAACCAGACGTAGTTAGGAAGGAGTCAGGGGTTTGCTTTCAAATACTTAAGTCAAAAAAATTAAAAATATGGCCAAGCCTTCTGAGTTCATCACTGGACAGCATGTGCAAGGCGCACTCTCAGAAACTGAAGACTAGGACTTGCTTCTGTGCAGAGGGACTCGGAAAAGGAGAGATATTTTCAGCCATGTAGTTACTGGGCTTCTTTTATAAGACTTTACCAATAGGCTGGTCTTTGAGAGAAGTTTTGAAGGGGTGTCATGTGTGCCGTGCCAGCACAGCCTAGGGTTTGGCGAGCCTGAGGGAGGGCGGCGAAGGATGTAGAAAAGACAGACAAAGAGAATAAGCTGGGTCTAGGTGGATCTCCTGTGCCTGGCTGAGGCCACAGAGCGGTGGTCGGCAAACTTATTAGTCAACAGAGCCAAGTATCAACAGTACAACAATTGAAATTTCTTTTGAGAGCCAAAATTTTTAAAAAAATATATTTTATTGATTTTATACAGAGAGAAAGGGAGAGATATAGAGAGTTAGAAACATCGATGAGAGAGAATCATCCATCAGCTGCCTCTTGCACACCCCCTACTGGGGATATGCCTGCAACCAAGGGACACGCCCTTTGACCGGAATCGAACCCGGGACCTTTCAGTGAGCAAAACCGGTTTCAGCGAGAGCCAAATTTTTTAAACAAACTTCTTCGAACGCCACTTCTTCAAAAATAGACTTGCCCAGGCAGTGGTATGTTGTGGAAGAACCACAGTTTGCCAACCACAACCACAGAGAAATGATCCAGATGGCAAGCTGAGCCTTTATTTTATAGCCAGAGGTAAACAAGATTGTGGTCACCATAGTTACAGTGTTCTTGTGAGTTTTACTTGTTTTGGCAGCACTTGCTGTACCTCCCACAGCCCATTAGCTACCCAGGAAGGATCTGGAGAGTGTCATAAGGTCAAGCTTAATTTTGCTGAGAGGGCTGCCCCCTAAGCTGGGACTTGTTTGTGGCTTTGCCAACAGATCAGTCCGAGGCTTAACCCTATAGCCGCTCCCTACAGTCATGCAAATAGGAAGTGTCTCACTCCTGTAGGTACTTCTAAAGTCATAACCAAGCCCTTTGGGGTTTTCCTTGCAGCTGATCAGCGGTGAGTACATCGGAGCCCTGGCCATGAGTGAGCCCAATGCTGGCTCTGATGTTGTCTCCATGAAGCTGAAAGCTGAAAAGAAAGGTGAGGCCTCTCTGGACTCGGGAGCTGGAAAGGACAGAGGGGCAGTAATTGGGGTGGCCTCGGCTAGACTTCCAGGACCGTTTCCAGCTGGCCAGCGTCCACTCAGCAGGTCTGTGGACTGAGATGGACCAACATGGCCAGTGTTAAGTAGCCAAATTCCTGTTCTTAGGAGATCACTACGTCCTGAACGGCAACAAGTTCTGGATCACCAATGGGCCTGATGCCGACGTCCTTGTTGTCTATGCCAAGACAGACCTGACTGCTGTGCCAGCTTCTCGAGGCATCACGGCCTTCCTCGTGGAGAAGGTGAATGGAGTGGGAGTGCAGTGGAGGCGTTGGTGATGCCAGAGATAGATCGCTTCCCCTGATAGCAGACTCGAGCTGCCCTGTGGGCCCTGCCAGGGCTCCCCGGGTGGAGGTGAAGAGCAGACCGAAAGGAGGGTGGCAGACAGTGGAGTCCAGGGAGGTGCGTCAAGACTGAGGTTGGTGGAGCCGCCCACCGAGCCAGGCCACACACAGGGCCAGGGTGAGGAGGACTGGGTTTGACAGTGAAGGCGCCATCAGGGGGCTGCTGAGAGCAGCTGTGGAAGACCGAAGTGGAAGTGTGAATGGGAATGCACCTTTCAAATCTTTTTTTAAGTATATTTTTGTTGATTTCAGAGAAGAAGAGAGAGGGAGAGATAAAAATATCAATGGTGAGAGAGGATCATTGATCGGCTGCCTCCTGCACACACTCCCCCCCTACTGGGGATCTAGCCTGCAACCTTGGCATGTGCCCTTAACTGGAATCGAACCCAGGACCCTTTGGTCCACAGACCGACTATCTACTGAGCCAAATCTAGGGCCAGATCTTGACAATAAAAGCAAGAGGGAGGCCTGGCTGGTTTGGCTCAGTGGAACAACGTCAGCCTGTGTGCTGGGGGGTCCCAGGTTGATGTTACTCTCTCTCTCCCCTTCTCCCTTCCTCTGTGAAAACAATTTAAAAAAAAAAAAGAAGAAGAAGAAGAAGCAAGAGGGAGACAGGGCAGAAGGTAGAATGAAGGGTTGGGAGTTTGGCCTTAGCCTGTTTTGCTCAGTGGTTAGAGTGCAACTTCCGGTGAAGCACGTATCTCGATTGCAGGCTTGATCCAGGAGGCAACCAGTCAGTGTATCTCTTTCATATCGAGGTTTCTCTCTTTCTCTCCGCTTCCCTTCTATCACCCCCTCCCCAATCAATGGGGAAAAATCCTCCAGTGAGGATTAACAACAACAAAAGTTGGGAGTTTGAGTTTGTTTTTAAGAATGGGAGAGAGCCGAAACCGGTTTGGCTCAGCGGATAGAGCATCGGCCTGCGGACTGAAGGGTCTCGGTTCGATTCTGGTCAAGGGCATGTACCTTGGTTGCGGGCACATCCCCGGTGGGGGGGGGGGGGGGTGTGTGCAAGAGGCAGCTGATCGATGGTTCTCTCATCGATGTTTCTAACTCTCTATTCCACTCTCTTCCTCTCTGTAAAAAATCAATAAAATATCTTAAAAAAAAAAAAAGAATGGGAGAGAATTGAGCAAATTTTTTGGTAGAGAAATTTAGGAGAGGGAGAATTTGAGATGTGTCTGACCAAGTGAGCAAAACAACGGAGAATTGAGGAAGGAGAGGTAAGGCTGGTGCAGGTGATGGGGGAGGATCTGCCTGGGGACCTTGAGGCCAGGGCATCCGTGAGGGCTGGGGACCACAGGGGTGAGGGAGTCGGTAGACAATTTCACAGATTAGAGTCGGAAGGGTTTGCACTGCCCTCCCTGGGGAGAGGGGGAAAGTGGCTGGCTGGGGTTGGAGGAAGAGAACCGAGTAGCCCAAAGGGCCTGGCTAAGATTGGAAATCTCAAGGTTGTGTAATGCCACTCAGCAGCCCTGGGAGGTTAGGGAAACAAAACATGTGCTCTGAGCACTCGCCGTGCACAGAGCATCTGATGAGTCCAGGCTGAAGCTCACAGGTGGTTGAATTGATCCCGGCTGTGATTGAATTCGGTGCAGATGGCAGAGGAACAAAAGGCCAAAGGAGTTGAATGGGCTGCTGAGAACGTCTTGGAAATTATTTCCCTAAGGAAAGGAAACAAAGCTAGGAAGGGTCAAGCAGGCCCCGGGGATCAGGCATTTGAGAAAGATGTGCCCCCGTGAGACGTGGGGAGAGTGAGAAGTGGGGAGAACGTGAGCTAGCGGCAGAGAAGGCTGGGGTCTGGTGGGGCGTTAGGGCTGGCGCTTCCGGGAGCGGACCCGTACAGGGTGGGCCCAGGGTGAGAACGCTGGAGTGCCGTGGGAGGGAGTCCTGGGACTGGGTGGGAAGGTGGGCTTTTTGCGAGGGACTTCCCTTTCCTAGACCCCGTGGGGCCTGGTCTGTAATCAAGGCCTTTTGTTTCTGTGAAGAACATGCCTGGCTTCAGCACCGCCAAGAAGCTGGACAAGCTGGGGATGAGGGGTTCTAACACCTGTGAGCTGATCTTTGAAGACTGCAAAGTTCCTGGTGAGTCTAAGGAAGTGTGAGCCCCTGTGAGGACCCCTTCATAAGCAGAGAAAGCCCGCCTCTGGGTTAGAGAGGCTCCCACTGTTAGCTGACCGGTGACTGCCGGGCTGGCCCACGGCCGTCCGGGAGGGGCTCGGCCTGGGGGGCACGGCTCTCCCTGTGCCTGACTGAGGTGTTTGCTGTGTCTGGGTTGGATTCCAGCACCTGGAATAGAAAGATAAGATCCGCTCGTGCCCACGAATGCCCTTCAGACGTCCTTGTTTGTACGTTTCCCGGTACCGCCTGTCCAAGGTATTCATTAACAATGCTAAAAAAAAAATCCAAGCACACTGGTGGAAGCTGGACTCGGTGAAGGGAGGGCAGTTCCGTTAGAGTGTTTTCTCCCCTGAAGTGTAACTGGAAGTGTGGCGCATTGTGGGAGGACCAGCACACCTTTCCTGTGCTAAGGAGGCCAAAGGCATGGATTTGATCACGGCGAGGCTTACTCCGTAGTACCTCAGCCACAGACCGCGCCTCACCCTCACCGTCCACCACCCAGGAGAAGAATGCTTTGGTGACAACGAGCACCAGGGAGAGGGGCTCATTGCAGAGCCTCCTCCATAAGCAGGAAGACTCTCGGAGGTCATCCGAGGTCCTGGCCCCGGGGTGGAGAGGCGCTCGGCAGCTCCTGTCACCGTGCGGACTGGCCGTCTCCTGCAGGGTGCCTGGTCCGTGGACACTGTTGGAGGGGAGGGGCCGGGTGACACTGACCGAGGGAAGGAGTGATTACGGACACAGGTGTGAAAATACCAGGAAGGGTCTGGCTGACTCTTTTCTTCTTCCCCCAAGGGCCGGGCCTCTGTGTCTGGCCCTGTGGGTGGTGTGGGCATGGGGGCGGATGTCTGTCCAGCAGGCTCTGCTTCCGACGGGGAGCGCGACGCCCCAGCCTTTTCTCTCATCCAGAATCACCCTCGCTGACGGCCAGGTGACATATCTCGGTGCCTTGTACAAGAGCCGCGGAACCAAAGCTAGCAGCTCTTACAGAGGGAGATGTCCGTGGGCGGTGGGCAGCCCCCTCCCTCTGACCAGCGCCTTTCCCGCAGCCGAGAACATCCTGGGCCACCTCAGTAAGGGCGTCTACGTGCTCATGAGCGGGCTGGACCTGGAGCGGCTGGTGCTGGCGGGCGGGCCCCTCGGGTGAGTGCGCGGCTCAGGGTGCGGGTGCGGGGGCTGGGCTCTCGGCTTCCCTGGCAAGCAGCGCCTGGCACACAGCAGCCTCGGCCTCGGCCTTCTTTCCTGGAAATAAAAGAGCCTTCTAGTCACATGTGTAATTTCTCCACACTGAGGGGAAAGGACATTCCTTAAAAGAAAGCGTCTGAGGAGCAATGCCGCCTGTTTACTCGGGATGTGAAACAGGACACCTAAGGCCCCACTGCGCGGGGGTCTTGCCGCTCTGTCTGGTCTTGGGGTGCAGTGACCGAGCAGGGGTAACCAGTGTCCTCAGACTCCTTTTCTCCTCTCTACAACTCCAGCTTTTTGTCTCACTGAGCTGCCCCCCGCCCCCCACCAAGCCTTTTCCCATTGGCGTTTTGCCCCCACCCACCCAGCTGGCAGCAGGGGTGGGGGACAGTGAGGCACCGCCCGTGTCTTTGTCCTTCCCGCAGGATCATGCAGTCTGTCCTGGACCACACCATTCCCTACCTGCACGTGCGGGAAGCCTTTGGCCAGAAGATTGGCCACTTCCAGGTGAGGGGAATGCTTTGCTGACTTGTCCTCTCTCATTGGGTTTCAGTTTTCTTTAAAAATGAGAACGTGGGCATTTGCCAGCCTTCCCCAGCGGAGTGAGTGTGGGTGCTGGGAGGGCGGCTCCTCGGCATGCTGCCTGGCTCCGGGGGGTGTTGGGAAGATGACCACAGGTCTCCTTGCTTCCTGTTTGGGATGAATGAACCAGGCGTTGTAAGGGCGATGCGTGGGTAAGGGGGGTGGGGGGGCGGCGCATGTCTAGTCGCCCTTCCTGGTGTGAAGACTCTGCAGAGCGTCAGTGAGGGTGGCGGCGGCCCCCACCCTCTGTCATCCGAGGCAAGTCCCGTCGGCTTTCTGAGCCCTGACGCTCACGCGTGGCTGCCAGGTTGCCGCTGCGGATCTGCTCTTGGTGACGAGGGAGAGTGTCTGAGAGGGAAGTTGACTGTGCCCTCTCTGTGCCCAGCTGATGCAGGGGAAGATGGCCGACATGTACACCCGCCTCATGGCCTGCCGGCAGTACGTCTACAACGTCGCCAAGGCCTGCGACATGGGCCACTGCACCCCCAAGGTGAGGGCCTGCCCGGGGGGGGGGGGGCCGCGCGCGGGTCCCAGGCCGCGCTGCCCCGGGGCCTGGCGGGGCTGCTGACCGGCCCTCCCCCCGCAGGACTGCGCGGGCGTGATCCTTTACACGGCCGAGTGTGCCACGCAGGTGGCCCTGGACGGCATTCAGTGTTTCGGTGAGCAGCCCCCACGCCCGCCCCCCCTCCCCTGCCTGTGGCTGTCCCCCCCTCACCCCTCACCCTGAGCGTCAGCTGGCTGGTGCCATTCGGCTGCTTCTGCCCCAGTTATTACGAGAACATGGAAAAGCAAACGAGACAACTGCCGGAGGCGGCACGCCCCCTCACACCTAACCCTATGGACACTGGCAAGTGGGAGGAGAGGCCTCGGGGGGACGGCCTGGTTAAGAGCACAGACTCGAGCCAGGCGGCCTCGGTTGGACTCTCGGTTTTACCGCGGACCAGCTTTGTGACTTGTACAAATCGCTTCACTTCTCTGCACCTGGCACCCAGTAAAAGCTATGCAGCGTCTCCTTCCCTGCTTCTCCACTCACCAGTGTCCTCTCTGCTTGCTGCTGCCCTGTGCCCTCTGGGTGGCCTTCTGGCCCCTTGTCCACTGTCCTCCCCCAGAAGCTGTTCCCCACACCACGCCCTCGCACCGCCTTTTGCTGGTCCTCTGGAATCAGTCTCTCTCCCGCTGGCCTGTTTCTGTATCCTCGGCCTTCTGTTTGCTTCTCTAGCTGTGCCCACTTCCCATCACTCTTCTGTTATCCTCTCTCTCTCTGCCCCCCCCCCCTGACAGGTGGCCACGGCTACATCAATGACTTCCCCATGGGCCGCTTCCTGCGGGATGCCAAGCTGTACGAGATCGGGGCCGGGACCAGCGAGGTGAGGCGGCTGGTCATCGGCAGATCCTTCAACTCAGACTTCCACTAACGCCGGGCCGTCCCCCTCTTCCCGCACCGAGAGGCCTTTCCCGGGAGGAGAGCCTGGCAGCACTCCTCCCGCCTGAGGCAGGTCCCGGGCTCGGCCGCCCTCGCACCGGCCTGCTCCCTCTGCGATGGCGGCCGAGCCCATGGGCCGCGGGGCCCGGCCGGCCAGCCTGGGAAGCGTTTGGTGGCTTAACATGGACGTGACGGGAAGCCGGGGGGCTTTTCTGGGCTGTGGCGCCGGCTTTGGTGACTGCCCTCGCTCTCTGAACCGCAAGCCTGCCGCTCCCTCCTCCCAGGGTGGTCACCTGGGGGCAGGCAGACAGTCACCTCCTTTTTGGGGGTGAGCCTTGGCAGGGGGCCGTCTGCTCATTTACTTGTGCCTGGTAGCTCTTCCAGGGGGAAACCCCCCAAAACCTAGCCTTTCTGCCGATTTCCAGAGGCATCACCCCCTTGCCGCTTGTGAGCAAGCACCCCCTCTCTTCATGGCCCTGCATCCTTCCAGGGGCTCCCCTCTTTAGGGCTGAAACCCCCCATCGGGGAATGGGCATCTCAGAACGTGTGCCATCCGACCAGCCGTCACCAGCCAGTGGTCCACGAGGCCCGAAAGCTTGGCGACCGCCGGGCTAGGCTCTGTGGTGGGGCAGAGGTCAGCATGCTGGTCGAGGGCCAGCGCCTCTGAGCCCTTCAGCTGCTGTGCCACCACCGCCGCCGTCCTGGCCCTGTGACAGCCCGCGGCCGGCCGGGCAGCGGGCCTGCGTTGGCTGGCTCGGCTCCAGCCAGGCTGCCTGTGTGCATTTCTCTGGACACCCCACGGCTAATTCTGTTACAACTGCACAGCGGCCGCTGCCATTTTATATTAAACATCACGAAGCAGACCCATCTGCTTCTACTCTGGTGTTTTGGGGAGAAGCAGTGCCTCGCCTCGGGCCTGGTCTGGGCCTGCCCTCCGGTCTGCTCACTGGAGGGGAACACTGGCGTGGAACCGGCCCTTAGAAGAGAAGAAGTCTCAGCCTCTCTCTCGCAGATCCCCAGGGATTTTTTAAAGGCGGTTGGAAGTGGTGAAGAGCCTTGGAGCTAAAAGGAAGCTCATAAATTTTGAAACCATCCCTGTGGTTTGTTTGTTTGTTTGTTTGTTTGTTAATCCTCACCCAAGGGTATTTTTTTCATTAATTTTTTTAGAGAAAGTGGAGGGGGGAGAGAGTGATAGAAACATCGATGTGAGAGACACATCGGTTGATTGCCTCCCGCGTGCACCCGTCCAGGGCCAAAGGCTGAGCCTCGATCAGACGGGAACCCAGAACCCTTCAGCTCCAGGGCCAGCCCTCTAACCACTGAGCAAAACTGGCTAGGGTCGTCCCCAGGTTTTTTAAAAGAGCAAGACAGTTTGATTTTCACTCTCCCCCCCCCCCCCCCCCCCCCCCGCCTCTCGTGTTGGTGACTGTGGCTAGGATGGCGGTCGTACTGGGTGTAGTGTGTAGTGGGAACACCAGCCTGGAGACATTCAGAGTGTGACAGAACGGGACGTTTTGTCCAGTCAAGATGGGTTACAGACCTTGCCACCATCTTGGGAAGAAGAAAGTGATTGTTCTCCTAAAACCAAAAAAACGTGCAGCATGAGTCATGAATGGAAGGGGGGGGCCTCCCACTTTGGGGCTGTGGGAGCTCCTGCTTGTTTAATGCCCCGTGCAGCCCCAGCCTCGGCTGCCAGCCCTGCTCCCTCCCGGCCCAAGCCCCCCGTCACTGCCCACCCTGTGGGATGGTGGTAGAAGCTGAGGGAATGGTTCTCCTGTTGTGTTCTGGGCGCACCCTTTACGAGAGCTTGGCAGCTTGGCAATCTGTAGAAAGGTAAAACACAGACTCCTGGGTGGGCTCCAGACTTAGCCACAGCTCCAGGGGTAAGTCTGAGGCACAGGCCGCCTTTCAGAACAACTGGTCTGTCTGGGGCTTTGGTACAGGATGCTTCCCAGAGGCCTGCGTCCAATTCTAAACCCATGGAACCTAGTCATGGCGGTACCTTACCGATGCAGCTCTCTCAATACTTTTTTTTTTTTTTTTAATATTTTATTGATTTTTACAGAAAGGAAGGGAGAGGGATAGAGAGTTAGAAACATCTATCAGCTGCCTCCTAATTAAGGATGTGCCCGCAACCAAGGTACATGCCCTTGACCGGAATTGAACCTGGGACCCTTCAATCGCAGGCCGAAGCTCTACCCACTTAGCCAAATCAGTCAGGGCTCACCTCTCGTTTTGACATATCACTTCCTTTATTTTCCTGACAACCCTGTTGGCAATATAAGGTTGCACACGGTGGTGGTGGGTGGAGGTGGAAGAGCTTAAGGGGAAAATAAACCCATTAAAGGTTGCACAAGAGCCCCGTTTGTTCCCAGAGTTCGTTCCCAGAGTCCGGGCGGGTGAGTGGCCCAGGGGCGCGCGGGCACATCGCAGGCGAGCCAGCCCCGCCCAGACGCTGGGTGGAACCAGAGCCGGTGTCAGCCAGCGTGGAGGGGGCGCTCAGTTCACATCCTGCCCCGCGGAGCCCGGACTCTTGACCCGGGAGGCTGTTCGACGTGACCCCCAGTTTAAGGGGGCGGTTTGGGCCGTCCGTCTGCCGGGGGCACCGCGCGCCCAGAAACGCTAATCCGGCTCTCGGGTTCGGCGGCTCCGCGGGCCGTCCGTGGAGCTCGCCTGACCCCTGCCGGCCGGCCGCGGGGTCGCAGGCGCGCAGAACCCTCCGCTCAGCCTTCGGTAGGTGCTCTGCCGGCTCAGGGCTCAATGAGAACAGTAAGGGGAGAAAAAAGCCTGCTGTCTGTATTCTCTCATACAAGGAAGTCCGCCTTTTTAGTAATTAAAAAAAGAAAGGACTTAAACCTAACACAGGCCAACGGTGCGTTTAAAAGTTTTGTATGGTGAGTTTTTAAATATAGTTTAAAGGCTTATTTTAAAACCCTTTAAATTAAAAATAAAATCCTTGTCTTCAATGCCACACACACACACACACACACACACACACACGCACCACCAAAGACACAAACAAACCCTCACCACTTTTGAATCTTTAAGAGACTTCCTTTGGTAATTCACTTCATGCCTCTAAGTGATATGCTTACTTACTGATTTAATTACAGACACTTCTAAGGATGGTTCTTTAAAGTGCATACATTTGGCTTATAAGAAGCTCATTACAGGCCCATATTTTCCTGACTTTCTCAAACCAGTCCCGTCCACAAGCCAGAATTTGGGAGCCCGGGACCAGAAGGTGCAGCATCCCATCCCCATTCCTGGCTGTCCCCTGCCTCTGCCCACACTAGTGCTCCCCAGTGCCCGGCGCTCAGAGCCACACTGGTTCCAGGTGGGAGCCCGCCTCTTCCTGTGTGCTCCACCTGGGCACTCCAGCAGAGAGCTGTTTTCGAAGCTGGCCTCTCTCATACCCACCATCCACCTCTCCAACACAGCCTGTCTGAATATTTCTCTCTCTCTTTCCCCCCCATTTTTTATTAAGGTATATGTACACATATCTTACCATTGCCCCCCCCCATATCCCACTCCCATACGTGCCCTCACCCCCCAGAGTTTTATGTCCATTGGTTATGCTTATATTGCATGCACACAAGTCTTTCGATTGATCTCTGATCTCCCCACCTCTCTCTAACCTTCCCGCTGCAATTTGACATTCTGTTTGATACTTTACTATCTCTATTCTAAATATTCCTTGAATCCACAATAGTCTGGCAACTTGCCTTCCTTCTCCCAGTCCATGCCCTTCAACCCTTCCTCTATACTGAGCCAGAGTGAACTACCAAGCTCCCCCTAACACTTCAGGGGCTCCCAGCACCTGTAAGATCCAAGATCTGGCCAAGCAAACAGGACTCTGGCCTGCCCAGCCTCCCCCTCCTGCCCGTGAGGACTTGGGTTCAGTTGCGCAGAGTACTCTTAGCGCTGCTTCTTGCTCCTGTGCCTTTGTCCCAGTGATTCCTCCGCAGAGGAAGTCCTCACCCTGCAGCTTGCCCTTGCCTCCTCACCCATAATGCTCAGGTCAGGAGCCGTCCCCTCAGGGAGACCTCCCTTCTCCAGCCTTTCCCCACTGCTCATCCCCATCCTGCCCATCCTGAGTGTGGCCTTCCTGCATCTCCCTGGCCATAGCTACATCTGTGGGCTTGCCCACTGTTAGGTTTATCTCATTTATGTTTGCCCCGGACCAGCCTAAGAACTTAAGGGCCAGGGTTGTGATGTAACCGCCTTTATGGTGCTCACCATCCCGCATGGCTCCGGGCACATAACAGATGCTCAACAAACGTGAGTGGGAAGAGTAGAAGGGTTGCCATGTGTCACTTAGCTCACATTTTCTGGTATCGTGGCTATTTGTGTGTGTGTGTGATCACCTCTGGGTATATGGTAAGATCTCTGAGGTCAAAGACCACTTCTCACTGATCCGAATCCTCCCAACCGCATCCCCGGCTCGCAGAAAGCCCTCGGCGACGTTCATGCTGAATGAGTGAAACAACAGGTGGGCCAGAGCCGCGGCCTAATCCCCGAAGTTGGCAGGAGCAGCACAGCCAGCCGGCCTCGCCTGGCCCTGCTTTCCCATCACCCTGGAGTGACTGGGACCCAGCTGCAGAGGGGGCCTCACCCCCCAGATTCCTCTCACCCGCTCAGGAACAGAAAGGAACTGTGGGGGACGCTGGCCCCTCTTCTGCCAGCTGAGGACAGGAACGGGGGGTGCTGGATGTGTGGTGTATACACAAGGGTACGTACGAGGCATCTGCACTGCAGAGAACGGTAATACATTCCTGTGGACCCAGCACAGGTCAGTGAGGACACTGTCATTACCTTAGCAGCTCCTGTTCCCCTCCCTGACACATTCCCCCAAAGGAAACAACATCCTGAGTTTAGTGAAAATCCTCTCCTCACTTTTCTTTATGGTTTCCTACCTTTGTGTATACCCCTAAACAATATTGCCTAGATTGCCTGTTTTTAAATTTTCTCCATTGGACTCGGACTTAATATATTCTTTCATGTCCTGTTTCATGGGGTCATCACTGTACAGGTTTTAAAGACTTCTTCATATTAGTGAGCAGAGCTGCAGTTCGGTCAACTTCTTTTCTTGTATAGTATTCCGTTCTGTGGAAAGGCTGCAGTTTAACACCCATCCCAGCGTTCGTGGGCATGTGGGTTGTTCCCAGTTTGGGGAACACTATTTCTTCTGGTTTATGTGTGCCCGAGTTTCTCTAGGTCCGTTCCCAGGAGTGGAAGTTCTGTGTCATGGGGTATACACCTGATCAAATTTACTAAGGAATTCCAAACTGTTTTCTAAGTAGTTGTGCACCTATATTTTTTAAATAATACCACCAGCGGTGACCCAGGGCAGAGGTGGCATGCCAGCCTCGGGGCCAGCTGCATGAGCTGATTTCCAGCAAGGGAGAAAAGTCAGATGGCAAGAGTGAGCATCCTGCTTCCCTGCCCCCGGGCCCATCAACCTCACGGCCCACAAACCTTTACAGACGAGATAAGAGCCGTGCACTGGGCCGGGGCTGGGCGACAGCACTGAGTGAGCGCAGCGCCGCCTGAGACGGACAGTGTGTTCCCACCTGTGCTGCCAGGCACCCTGGCACGGCTTTGCCCTGGAACCCGTGGGAGAGTCAGGGTGGGAGGGGTACATGGGAGTTTCCTGAAAAGAGGAATAATGTGTCCGGCTCAGGATATCCCAGCTCAGCACCATCTTCCTCCTCAGAGGAGAGCAGTCGGTGGAGGAAGGCCAGGGGGCTGCCCTGGCCATTGCTAGATGGAGGGAGGGAGAGAGGGAGGGAGGGAGGGAGGGAGGGAGGGAGGGAGGGAGGGAGGGGAGGGGAGGGGAGGGGAGGGAGGGAGGGAGGGAGGGAGGAAGGAAGGAAAAAAGGAAGGAAGGAAGGAAGGAAGGAAGGAAGGAAGGAAGGAAGGAAGGAAGGAGAAGAGAAGATTGGGGCTCTCTGAACCCCAGAGATGGACATCTGTCGATCAAACACACCTGTTTCCTTGTGCCCCCCGGAAGCAGACGCGGCCGCAGGGCAGGCAGGCTGCTAGGCATGCTGCAGGAGCAAAGGCCAGAAGCACGCGCTCGCAGCTGCCTG